CCCCCTAAAATCTGGGTTGGTCACTTGTTATTCTCATCGCATACGAGGTTGCCGGACATAACTCTGCATAACTAAATTTTCTTAGCTGTTTGTTTTGCTTTCATTGTTTTTTTTTTGTTTTCTCTAAATCTGTGGAAGTTTTCACTGACTTTGTTTGCAATTTCTTTCCAGAGAGAAGTGTGTTCGATTAAACGCGTTAAAATTTTTTTTAAACTGTCGTATGATAGTGGTGAAGGAGAAGTCAGGGCTGTAGTCAAGCTGTTGTATGTGGTAAGTAAAGAAACGATTTACGTAAATAGTTAAAGAAAAAAATGGACTTCTCAAGAGGACGTCTTGGTACTTTGACGTTGGATGGCGCCACTGATAGGTCCTACTTCTTTTCTTTCCCCCAATTTTCTCTTTCTGTCATGCTTTTTTTCCTATACTAAATGATCGTTATCGTGTCAAAACAAATTGGGCACTCTGATATCAGACTTAGTCCGGTCGTGCAGGCCCGAATAGTTGGACAAGTGTACACATCACTTCAGGGGACGTCAGTTAGAGCCCTACTCGTGTTCCCGAGGCTCGCCCAAGGAGACAATTGGAGAGGTGATAAAGTCAGACCGTATGAGACGTCCTAATCGAGCATAACTGATACTGATAGAGCGTGTCAGGATTTCTCCTCGTCCGTTTTGTGGCGGCGTCGCTGGCAGTCTGGAGAGAAGCTCATGGTCTTTGTACAGCACGCCGTCTCTCTCTCTCTCTCTCTCTCTCTCTCTCTCTCTCTCTCTCTCTCTCCAAAAGGCAACGTCGTGAACTTTTACCCGGAGCCCCCTTCTGACTGTGTTTGTATGCGTGTTTGTGCGTTCGTACTTATGGTTGGGTATCCTCGTCGACGCTGAAGGGCTGTCGTGTCTAGAGTGTCACAGCTGGCCAAGAGGTAGACGACCGGTAATTTGTTATCCAATACAAACTAACGCCGGTTCAAAGCAAATTGGACGAGGACGCGCTCGGAGTCGAGATTTGCCACTCGTGTATTAGGAAATTTGAGTTTGCAGTGAGCCGACAGTGATGGTCGCATTTCTGCCGTGTAAAGCGCTTTTAATCTGCCGTGCAACAACTGGGAACAAGAGTTTTCAATGTTTTTAGTTTCCTTTGATGTTGAATATAATATTGCTTTTATCGTAGGTGAAAGGGGCTTTTAGCGTATGCGTTCCGCTGTTCACCTTTGCAGGGAGCATTCGCCTGCACACAGCTCAGCTGGACGTCTCTGATTCTCGTGAAGGAAAGTGACTCACGTTTTTATACACCGGCGTCTGCCGTGTAGCGGTTAGGCGCTTGGCTATCGCATGCAGGAGGCCTGAGTTCGCTTTCAGAGTGGGGATTTATTGTATTCCTCTCAACCCCTGTTATTGGAATGACAAAGACAAGCAGAGAAGGCTGTGCACAAACCGGCAATAGGCGGTGGTAAACCAGCGTCGTAATGTCCAAAGACAAAATTTGGATAATACTGGACTTTCAATCTACACAGTAATTATGGAAACGGGCAAGAGACAAATGGGTTGAGAATCTTGATATCTCCACAAAACGAGCCGAGTTCTACAACGCGCAGTGTAAGATTCGAACCAGAGCTATCCTCTGTGTAGTTCAGCAGCATATCAATTGAGTTAACGGGGCGCCATGTATGTGTATATGTGTGTGCCTGTGTGTGTGTGTGTGTGTGTGTGTGTGTGTGTGTGTGTGTGTGAGAGAGAGAGATAAAATAATAGGGATAGATAATACTTTATTGTCTTTGTAGGAATTTTTCCCCGTGGTTTTACAGGAAATGTATAAAGGCGTAGATATTCATAAGATTTAAATTGTACATCTTTATTACATTCCTAAAAAAAAGGATGCACTTTTCAGGCTTCGCTGGAGAACTGGAGAAATGTTGTTGATGGCCTATGCTCCACTGGGAGTTGAAAAGTGCGTGCGAAGTAACCGTGATGCGACGGAAAGAGAGAGAGAGAGAGAGAGAGAGAGAGAGAGAGAGAGAGAGAGAGAGAGAGAAGAATTTTAAATTGAATAGAACCATATAGTATGCAGACAACATACATACATGTACCTATGCATATACATGTAATGTTCTTGGAGAAATATTGCTTTTATCGGGCTTGTTGGACAAAGACTGCGAAGTATAATTCGCCGTACGTTTGTTCAAGATCCTTGCCACCCTTCCCCCTTCCGACCCCAAATTGTGCTATCATTTTCTGCTTTAAGTGAGCAGAATTTTTCTTTTGTGACGGAGATTAGTAGGGGTACGGGGTACATTTATTATGCTCCTTATACAAAGGAAGGGTTGGGTGGTTGGAGGGCGCCACTGGTACTTCCTTCTTCTTTACTTTCCCTATGTTTTTCCGTCTTCCTGTCTGCCTTTTCCCCCAAGCATTAAATAATCAGTATCGTGTTGAGGTGCTTCTCTTTGCTGAAACAAATAAACAAGCAAAGGAACCGACACACTATTATCTTATTTGTCCTTTGTGAAAGCTTTCAGCTCTGGATGGGTGGTTGGTGGGTGCTCTAGTGTGGTTGCTTCTTCTTTCCTATCAAACATCTGTCGTCTTTACCTCACCTTCTTCTTTTTTATGTTTGTTGCTCTCTTGTAACACGTCTAATCTTCTGGCGCTCATATGACCTTATGCAGTTGCGAGCGCCGTAAAACCTCTACTAAAACTAAATTTTCAGCTCGGGTCGAAGCAACCTTTTTCTTTTACATTCTCTAAACTGTGTCGATAGTGGCGTAAAATACCTAGATCTACATTTAGAAGGGAAAAAAAAAGAAAGGTAGAAAGGGAATCTCTTGCTTGAGTGTACTCATGAATACTATCCATTCGCCTGTTGCTTTTCTGAAGACTGCGAAGTAATTATGATACACTGAGAGGCTTAATGGTTCCTGAGAGTTTCAAGTGGTCTGGCTTGTTGTTGTGAGCCCCAGGTCTCCCCAAGGCTGTGTGCCGGTTCCGGGCCTAGTGCCAAAACGTTCTGTCTCCTATAGTTGTGTACAGTAGATAGATCCTTTTGACTGTCTTCCCACCAAGCGTCATGTTGGATCAGATTTCGCACGTATCATATCGTAGTGTTGCTTTATTGTGTTGGAAACTTGCCCGCTACTCTGAATACTGAAACATTGTAATGTCAGAGCTGGAGCTGGTCTTCTCAGCGCCGCCTCTGAGAATTTGGGTTTGTAATAAAAAGGATGGTTCTGTTCTCTCTGGACACCCCCCTCCCCTTGGTTTGTTTGTTTTTTCTTGATTTTGTGAGTAGGAAAAAAACAAGGGGGTGGGGGGGTGGTTAGAAGAAAGAAAAAGGTGTGTGGGGGGGGGGGGGGGAGGGATGGCTGGGAAGAGAAAAGTTTTTCATAGGAATTCAAAAGTGCAAGGGAACTCTCTGTACCGTTTCCTCTGTTGTTTCTGTCTGTTTTGCGTTGTACTGGTTCTAAATTGCTGCGTTCTTCCCAGTGCTCGTCTAGTTGACTCCAAACATTTCAGCTAGAATGACCGTACTTCATTACGCGTTGCAGCATGTCGTCTTCTTCCTCCCCATCTCTGTCCCACCACAACTACTACAAGTCCTATTTTTTAAATGTAGGTCGAATATATATTAACGTTATATTTTATACTCTTCAAGTCGTATCTCCGCATTCCTGTTGCTTTGTATCCAGTGCAAATGAACGCCTTTATTTTTTTTCTTTACACAACGAAATCGGAAAACAATTTCTGTCTTCTCTCTGTGATGACCTCTCCTATCTCCCTTAATCTCTCCCCGGGCCTGTTTTGAGAAAATATTACGCGAATAGATAAAATGCTAATGTTCATATTTAATTTACATCTGTCCATTTCTTTTTATTTTCCAAGGTGCAGTACGAGATTAAGATGAATGCAGAGAGCCCGGAGACGAGCAAAGAGAAAGACAACTTTGTGCCAGATTAGCCCTCAGAGATATTTTACACTTTGAGGAGGATATAGTCTACCAACTCCTACCAGATAGTTTAGGGAAAAGGGACTCGGATGGTTTGCATTAGTGAAATATATATAAGTTGACCACAATTTTTGCGTAAGGAAATCATTCAGACGAGGCAAAGGCAAAATGGAAAGTCCCGGGTTTATGAACTCTTTGACCCAGGACATCCTGGTCACGTGCATCCTGATGGGCCTCATCGCCGTGGTGGGTCTGATTGGGAACGCTCTGATGATGAGAGCTCTGGTCCGCTACCGTGTTCTGCGCAGTGACTTCTACATTGTGTTCGGCGCACTGAGCATCGCGGACTCGCTGTTCCTCGTCATCAGTGTCCCGGCGCTCATCATCGACATGGTGGAGGCCAAGGACGTGACCACCACGGGCTGGTGCAAGACCAGCCACTACCTCATGAACGCCTTCGGCTTCGTGGCCGCCTTTCTCATCGTGGTGCTCGCCATGCTGAGGGGGATCCTGCTGACCAACCGTAACACCATCAGCCGGCCGCAACCGATGCACCTGCTGATCGTCTGTGTGGCCGTTTTTGTGCTTGCCATCCTCTCTTCCATCCCGATCACGAACATTTACTCGGCGAACGAGGGCTACTGTATGGTGGTGGACTTGGAGAACATTGTGCAGGAGACCTGGCTCATTAATTCCTTCGCGTCCTTCATCCCGTTATTTTTGGTGTTTGTTATTTACCTTATGACTTACCTGCTCGGGAAGAGGTACTTCTCGGACAGTTATTCGCCAAGGGAGAAGGAGCGCTCTCGACTGGTCAATTCCATTATCGTTGCGTTCATCATCTGCCAGCTCCCGTATCGTATTGTATCGATCTACGAGATGTACATCACGCACGACGACCTGGAGGAAATGGAGAGAATGTACACTATAAAGAACTACCTCATGTGCCTCGTGATGGCAGACAAAGCCGTCAGGCCCGTGCTTTACTCCAAACTTGCCTCCGACCTCAGCGAAGTATTCGATGAAGTCATTAACTGCACGTACTGCCACAAACATTATTCTATGGCGCCCTCTTTTGACAACGCTTATTCCATCGCTGGGTCGACCTGTGGCGGCGCTGGATGTGCGGGGAGTTTTAACGGCGCATGGGGAGACAGAGCTTCATTGTGGAGCGGCACTGGTGGTGCGTCTGGCCTTGTGTCCACCGTGTCTGTTCCCGAGTCAGAAGCTGCCATCTCTCATTCAGCGGCCACCTCTCATTCCGCGGCGGCGGCGGAGCTCGGAGACAGCCCCTCGCGACAGTTTGACCGGGCGGTGTCCACATCCTCCTCCAGTTCGGCCACGTCACAAACACCGCTGGTCAAAGTCACCCGAGCGGACAGCATAGAGATGTCGTGATGTCCCCGAACTTTCTGTGACGCCTTTTTTATTTTTAAGGTACCACGCTCTTTTTTTCTCTCTCATGTGCTTCTTTCCTCACACCACACAGAAATAAAAGTTTTTGTGAGAGAAGAAAAAAAAAAGGCGTGGGCATTAATCATGCCTGTATTTCAAACCATGTGAAGTACATGTACATGGAAATTTTGACCAGCTTGTCACAGTGATCTGGTAGATTGTTATCCTCTCATCTCTGGAGATGAAAGGGACTTTTTATCTGAGTTGTTTCAACTCAAGACTGGTTTCGACTGTGAAAAATTGTTTCTTCTGAAAAGTCTTTCGTTGCGTAAACATTTCTTTTTTTCTGTGTGGATCTACAAAAAGCTTCAGATTGAAATCACGATACCAGCAGAAAATGTTTTGAAATTGTACAAAGATATTATTCTGCTGTGAACAAGCAGCTGATGTATAGAACTGAGGACAAAATATGCAGGGAGACAAGCAGTTTGAAGCCGGGAGTAAACATTTACTAAAGTCCCTGGTCTTTTGCCTTAGCGGAAGAGTTACCAAAACTAGGTCTTTGTGACTGGTGTATGTGTCTTATCACACGGCATCTGCTTTAGTTTCTCAGTAAAAGTAAACCAAATCAGCCTGTGTCCCCTAAAAATCTAGACCCAGCACACAGATAATACGATCATTGTTTCGGAGTAGTGAGGAGCTCATAAACTGGTGTGCGGTTAAAGAAGGTCCGCTTTCGTGGTTTGCCAAGACACAGAACCATAAGGCCTGTATCCGACGGTTAGGATATCGCTGCCTGCTACAATGTCCATCTTGGGTAAGAGTAATAACAGACGTTGGAGGCTGTATAGAGTAGGCATAAACTTTAAAGCTGAGTGCCTAGAAATATATTATATATAATATACATACGCTCATGAGCTGCTTATTTGCTAGCATTTCAAAGGTAATTGTATGTGAAACTGGACAGTGATGCCTTTGCGTGTAGGAGGGTATGCTTTTCTAAATTGTATCAGCTCATTGAGCTTTTATCTATATGAATAGACATGTGTCTAAGACTGAGTGTTTTGTATTACTGTATGTATTATGAAGTATTGAAGTTTATTCTGTTTTGAGGTTTTAAAAAAATGTACAGTATACTATTCATTACAAGGGCTGCCATTGATCACATGTGGAAATTTGTGAGGAGTACATTGTACTTAGATTCCTACACGAATCTGAAAAAGTATCAGTACTATTTTGTAGTCGAATGTATTTTCAAATGGCATATGATTGTTTTGACTGATGAAAAAATGGCACATTGTTGTTTCTCTTCTTTCTGTTTGTTTTTTTCTTTCAATGGCTCAAACATGTTACATAAAGACTGTCTTTCTTCCAAGTGTAATGAACTTACATATGATACTATAATGACACGACAACTTTTTAGTCTCTGTCTGGAGAGCATTTATGCGAATAATTCGTGACTTTGTTTTCCTCACTGTTTCCCTGGAAAGATACAAAAATAAGCAGATTTGACCATAAGCTGAAAATAAAGTTTTCCATATATCGCCTGTACTGGTAACCTAGGCAGCTTGTAATAATATATGCCTGCAGTGGCAAAGTGATCGTTTCGTTTTAAACATTATCTTTGTTTTTGTTTTGTTTTTCCTCTCTTTACTTTTCTGTTTTCTAAATTGGCAGCCAAGATTTCTTTGCAGCTTGTTCTATCGGGCATGAAACAGCTCAAACGATCTTATAGCTCCATGTGCCTAAAGTCTTGTGTAGCTAGCTTTTGTGTCAGTACCAGTGATGCCAAAGTGACTTATTCAAAACGAAACAAAGCAGCATTATTGTGTGGACTGCTTTATTGCTGTACAAATGTAGCTCTTGGGTTTTCTGCAATGGGAATGAATGCTTTATAATGTCATGTGTACTGACTTCCCTCTTTTATGCTTAAGGCACGACATCAGTTGCTGATAATGAAAATACTTCACCACCTGCGTTTAGCATGTACTGAAACAATAATAAAAGTAGGCATTATATGTATAGCACGAAGTCCGGCTCAACAGTAAGCTCTATGCGCTTTACAATATTATTACCTCAGCAGACCTGATAGCTTTCTGAAATAATCTCAACTTCCTGGGAAGCAAACAGTGTAACATTTGTGACAACAACAACAATAAACAACAAAACTGACAAAGTAAGACACTGAGTCAAGCAGTTGTGACGAAACAAATGACATACTTATTTAAACTGTCGTACATAGGGTGTATGTGCTATCCAGGCTGTGGGTTAAGAGCAAACGTTTGGGAAATGTCCCTGTTGCTACACATGTCGTTCGGCTGCGGATGGTTAACGGGTGCTCTGCTGGCGTGGTTTGCCTCTTTTTTCCTATCTAACCAAACATTTTGTCGTCCTGAACTCTCCTCCTTTTTTGTGTTTGTTGCTCTATTGTAACTCCTCTAATCTTCGGCACTTATATGACCTCATTGTGTTGCAAGTGCCGTTAAACTCTAACTAAAACTAAACTAAAGTAGGTCATCTATTCACTTGACACGTCCCTGGTTATTTTCAGGTAAACTGGATCGCCAGTCGCTACTGATTGTGTAACAATGATACAAAAAACCCCACTAAAAGCAAAAAAAGAACAGTCAAAAAACCAACAATGATAAAGGAAATGCGCCTCTGATATATTACACTCTTCAAGCTGATACCGCAAAAGTTGACATTCTAAGGATTCAAGCTTTTCACCTATTTTTTTGTTTTGTGCTCCTATCAATGAAAGTTGAATGGAAGACACTAGAATGTTTTTTTTACGGTGTGCTCTACGTGGCTTCACCCTTGCACTCAAGCCTCTTGCAGCTCAGGCTAACTCAAAAGAATTGTTTAACAGATTGAAGCACTTCTTGAAGCGCCCAATTTACTAACGGGATGTTTTACGGTGCTTATTTTACATTGGCATAAGCATAATATCAGTTATGTTTGTACCACAGATGGCATTAATAAGTGATCGGTGGATAAAATTTTGTTTCAGTTAGTGTAGCGTCTGATTACAAGTTGTTTTTTTTCTTCTCTTTTGTAGTTGACGTTTTTTTAATGCCCAACATTTTAGTTCTTTTATCTCTTGTCTCAGAATATTCGGCACTTCAATGACTTAATTTTGTTGCATGTGCTGTATAACTGTTACTGAAATAAAAGACTTCTTCCCATTAGTACATGAGCTGACACCGAACTTTTTTCTTTTCTATCTTACTATCAGTTTTCAGCCCCCATCAGAGCACAGAATCTTTTATGAGGGATTTTGCTTAGCAATTTAGAATTAATTCCTACACCGACACAGATGATATTAACTTTCATCTGAAACTCACATTCTGTTCAGTCAGATGTAAGAGCAGAGCTGTTACTGATGCTTTTAATTTGAAGGTTTAGATCTATTCATAGATGCTCACTGTAGAGCAGTGCTCTTATGATCAGCTGAAATGTGCCACCTGCTGCATCAAATAGCATTATCAATTACTTCAGTGTTTTTCTTCTTTTTTTTATGTTACAAGAGATAATTATTCTTTTTTTTTAAAGAGTGAGAGAAAAAAAGGCAGGTAAAATTGCCTTCACTTTCCTATCATTTAGCTTGAATATGACCTGAGCAAGGTTTGCTTGCAAACAGACACCAAGATAAAGCAATAGCTGGGTGGGTTGTTTTTTTAATTAACCTAATCTCAACCTTGTCTGAGACAGTATATTGCTCTCTGGTAGGAATATAAAGAAGTTATGGAAGTGAAGGGGTTAAAGAATCCTATATATTATAGTGTAATTTGTTTCCCATTGTGGCAGTCTGAGCTCACAGATAAGCTTGCAAAATGAGAGGGTTTGGAGATTTGATCTGAATAGACAGGCAAAAAGCTCAATGTGTCTTAATCAATAGGAATCAAGCACTCTTGCTTCACTGGCTTGTGTAACTGCTAGGCTTCAATAGTATTATAGTCAGCTAAGAAGTGAATTATGATAACAGGCTACTCTGGGGATCTATATCTTTATAGTAGGATCATGTAGGGTTCTAGGATTTCAAAAGTATGACATATTGATCGCTGTTGGTCTGAGGCATCTGTCTGAAAAGAGCAAGCTAATATAAATGGACATTTGTCTGCAGCAATGTTGAGAATATTATTACATTATTGCTGATGTAAATTTTTCAAATATTCTTTCATTGTGTGTGAAGCGACCGATATCAACCGTCAGCTTTTCGCACAGTACTTCATAATTCTTACTAGCCCTCCTGTGACTAGAAAACATTACTGATCTTCTGAGAGTTAACAAGAGTGTACCACAGGTTATGTCAGCTCAAATAACAATAGATATCTTTAACATAGAAACGAAATATCCTTTTTAGGATAAACGACTTCAGCTTCGTCTGAAGATTTCACTGTGAAACATTTTGGACACCACAAATCCACCCCCCTCTCCCCACGCTGTTTTGGCCACAACTCCAAGTAATCATTCCCGTGCCTATGGTGTTTGTATTTTGTATTTTACCGAGAACACGCTGTGCTATTATTAAAGCATTGCTCTTGTTTTGCTGGATGTAAATATTTTCATGCAAGTTTGAGAGATGTGTGCTTGAAAGAGAAAAGAATGTGTCTTCTTAGTCTCTTGTAAATGTGGTCTTGTAAAAAGGCAGCTGAAGTGTGTTCAGTGTTCACAGCTAAAACCATTTGATTGAAGCTGACGAGTAGCAGTATTTCTGTTGTAAATAGTGACATCTTTGAATTTGAATCTAGATCTAATTGTACTCTAAAGATCTGGTTCATATCTGCTTATAATGTTCTGAAACTTGTAAAGTTTCTTTATTTTGCATGTTTATACATTTCCTACCCTTGGTTCAGTGGTCCTGTCTGTTTAGGTATTCCAGAGTTTATTACTATGACTAGGATAACAGAAAAGTGAAAGTCTGAAGGTACATGGCGAATTCTCGGCGTATTAAATATGGCGGTCAAGTTAAGAGTTACAGCTGTTGTTTTCTCAGGAAAAATTGCTAGGTTGAGGCCTAGGCACGAAAGACAGATAGGAGTCTTTTTTTTGTTTGTTCTAGTGTTCCTGTCTTCGCTTATTGTTTATTTGCTTGTGTTATGAGGTGCGACGTATGTGTCACATTGTACGTCAGTGCTAAGTTAGTGACATGTACAGAATAAACGTTTTTTTAAATATAAGCCAGGTTGAAAGAGGAGTCCGAAAAGATGAAATTGCATACATTTCTGGGACTAGCAATGTAGTAATATGGCTGTCTGTGATGGATGCGAAGGGATTTATATATTATGATTAATTCAGAAGTTTATGGCACCATTGCCGGTACTTCAGGCCGTGCTGAAATGTATAAAAACTCGCTTTTTCGCGTGATTTTGTACTTTTTGGTTTTTTTAAGCAGACTGTTATTGGAGAATGTTTCACCATTCATGCATAGAGTGATCCTTGTAAATGTTTTGACTTTTTAAGCTTTGCATCCTAATGTCAGTGCACAATCTTGACAGAAACAATGGTTCTGCTTTTGCCATCAATTGTCCTCATAGCTGTCATTCTGCTAATTTTTTTGTCCCCTAATGTAATATTTTAAGAGTTGAATATGTTTACATGTTTGGAAAGAGATGAGAGAGTTGGAAATAAGACACTGTTTAAGTAGTGTATGAGTATGAGAATTGTACAAACTTAATACTTTTACAGAAAATTGTGGTCACTGACTTGCCTTTGAAATTACTCTGGTGTTTGCCAGGATAAAGTGACAGACTGGTTTTTAGATATATTTGTTAAAAAAAACTTTTTTAACAAGATGTTTAAAGCTGCATTTCTCTGAGACAAATTCACCTGCTCATGCTGTTCACAGGGCATTTTTCAAAATTATGTGGAAACAGCAGGTCTGGAGAGGTAAAAGGTTTTTTGATTGTCCTTTCTGAAAATACCATGTGCACATGTTTTTTTTATGATTCCTTTGCATAATTAATACTCTTTATAATTCACCTATGTCAATCCTACCTCTTCTATACTCATGCAGCATTTGTTTTGTTTTTTGTTTTTTTTAATATGGCAAGTCATATAGAGGTATTTTCCGATTGATTGTTCTAGGTCTTGGTCAGGCTCGATCCTTGCAGGCTTTGCCATACCCTTTTAGATTTAGATCTAGTGGCGTGAAGGTAAACAGAGGTGAGCAAAATCGAATTTTCCAAGTTACAGTGATTTGTAGTTCAACATGTTTGCCTTATACACTGGTTGTACTCTGACAGGGATTTGTGTACATGTTTATTCTAATGCATAATAAAAAATAATTCATCAGGTTCTTTGTAAGTAGTGTAAATACTGACACAGTATGTCTTGAGATCAAGACCTTGATTACAGCAATACTACGCATTTCCCCGAGGTATGTGTGTTTGACGTGGTTGCATATCCTGTCTGTCCCGAATGGAGATTAGATCAGGACAGAATATTTGATTGATTAGCTCACGTTTGGAGAGAGAGAGAGAGAGAAAGAGAGAGTGGAGATTGAGTTGGCGGGGATTAAGGGGGTATGACAAGACAACGACTTAATGTGCCTCTCACTTTCAAACGATGTTGGTGACTGAAACAAATTACGCACAA